ACGAGTACATGAGAAATGTTTGTGATAGAGGTACAGGGTAGCAGTGTGATGTCTTTGGGAACCATAGGATAGACAGCTAGATGAAAATTGTTTTGCGAGAGAAGGTGGGAGGGGAGTACTGCCTTAAAGCCAAAGCCATATTATAAATGCAATACGATAAGGACAGAACATTCCCGTACATTGGGTGTGAACACGGCTTGTGCTGTATTTACTCTCCTTCTGCTCTTACACCTTGCTATTGATACAAAGTCGAAAGAAAAACAAACACAAAGCCAGAAGGGAGATGATGGACCCTTCCTCTGTGATTTGGGACTGCCAATATTGATATCACATTGGCTCAATAACTTTTCCATTCTTATCGCCAGTGTAGCAGTTTTATTTGATTGCCCTCTGATAATTTCATTACTGACAGCGGTAATATGGAGGTTAACTAATGAAATGTACTTAAATGATCTGCAGTTGCTGTGCTTGTTTTAAGGAGAAAGATCTAAGAAAATGGAGGATCTGTCGGTCCTTCAGGTTTGGAATGACTTTGTGGTTTCATAGTGGAGAGAGAGAGAGAGAGATGGTTTTGACCAAGAAACGAGACTGAAACTGGTGATTTAGCTGGAGGGTTCAATTAAGAAATGACAGTGATTTTAGCCAAATGAACCAAATACAAAAAAGAAAAAATACTGTAGAAACTTTCTTATTTGTGTTTAATTTAATTATAAAGGGTGATTTACACCTACTGCCAGCATTAAGAAAAAGGTGTCAAAATCGTATAGAAATATTCAGATTCTGCTTTTGGGTGTGCATGGCATTATTGATTTTTCTTCTATCTGTAAGATTATCTTACAGGTGACATACAAAAGGTTAACCAGTTTGAAGACTCTTTAACAAATCTGTTTGTGGGGGAGGGGTGGTGGTGGTGGCTTTATTTATTCATCAATTTAATATTATTATTATTATTATTATTATTATCATTATTATTTCAGATATCCAGGAGTTTTATGAGTCGACCCTGCTGGATGATGGGAAATCTGTCCACCAGAAGACACTAGAGACACTCCAGGTAGCCTCAAAGTGGGAGTCTTCGCCGCCTCTCTCCAATAACACCTATCTCGATGTAAGTACAGCAAAGTAAACCGTACGTTTTAACACCTATTTTGATGGAAGTACTAGTACAGCAATGTAATTTCTCGTATCTGAGGCTTCTTAACAGTGTTGTGACTTTTAAATTACCAAACAGTAAATTAATTAATGATTTGAAGAAGTGGTTAATGTACAAGTGCTATAGAATATGTGGCCCAACAGTAGGTATTACTTTCTGTGAATGTGGAAGCCACATGCATATTAGCCAATTAATTAATACCCGAATGCAGCAAACAAAATATGAGGCTTTTTTTTTTCGGCGGAAATGAAAATATTTTGCTCCTGTTAGATAATTGTATGGAAGGGCTCAGTCAACTGTGTAAGGGTAATCTTGTTTAAGATAATTTGAGATAGTTATTGCCATTTTCCAAGCTCATTACCGAAAAATTCCACATGGTTGAAAAAAATAAAGGAATCAATTCTGTTTAAAAACTTGATGAGTATTCAAATACTAGTAGGCTACAAGGGGTACAATGGTCATGCGTCCTGAACTGGTTTGCTAGTATCCTGGTGATAGTACATTAACTGAAATTTTTTTTTTCTTTTGCACTACGTCACTATGTGTTGCAGTATAAACCATGACTTTCTTGATATCAGCTTTTAGCATTTTGTCTACCTTCAGAATAGAAAAAAAACAAAAAAACTGCATGAAAATAGCTATATTTTGTTTAAAAGTTATTGGAATCTGAGTGAACCAGGTATAGGATGGAGGAGGTTGGGACACGTAAACGGGACACGTTAAATAAGAACCTTGCTGCACTCAAGATGATATTTGCAGTACTTCTGTGAAAGCAATGGTATTTAAAAACCCTTCTTAATGTTTTATATCTATTTTAGGCCTGTATTCACATGAAGCCTTTAAAATTGAGCAATGAGGCAAAATTTATGATGGTGCTATATTTTTTCAAACAGTTGCTAACATTTTACATAAAAAAATTATTTTTGAGTGAAGATTTAAGAAACCTTGCACTGGTTAGAGACTTACTAATTAGGTATAAAACTTCATCTTGAAAAAAGCTTTCAGAATATATTTTAGCTATGCTCTGACTAGTGGTTCCAGTTTTATGATGATTTTTCTAAGGAAACCCACAGGGCAGTTAGATTTACCCCGACAGTGTGTAACACAAATTAGACCAGTTCAGGATGCATGACCCCAGAAATTAGTTAGTAAGGAGATCAATTGGGAGACAGATAAAAAAAGAAATGAAAGTGCTGTCAAATAATGAACTATCATCAGTTTTCAAAAGTTTTAATTTGATATAAAATAAAATTTTTCACTCCAGTATGATTTTTCCTCATTGGAAAGATATTTGATAGCAAAGAAAATGAATGACATTTTTATTTATTCTTTCTACTGTGTTTGAGATGTAATATTTTGTCTTTATAAATTTGATTTGGTATTTATAAACCTTGAATTGGTTACTCTCCTGCCCCCCCCCCCCACCTTCCCCCATTTGTTGCTCAGTTTGAAAAGCTTATACTGCACTTGTATGATGCTGTGTATTTAACTTTGTGAATAAATCGTAAAATGCTGCATTTGTGACTGATGCGTATTTGTTTATTGCTTTTTGTTCGTTTTATGTGGATTTAGATACATCCAGCTATTAATAATTCATAAAATGTTAACCATGAAAACAACATGTGTGAATATTTATTTTTTAATTTAAAAAGTTGAGTTTTCAGCTGTCACTGCAGACCATGATCTCACTTATCCAGAGAACTTGAAGGTGAAAAAAAAAAAAAAAAAAAAAGTGGATTTCTACCAAGATAGATGAACTGACTAAAATCCATATAGATATTGTTTGTGTTAAATTGTAGGATTACATTCTGTATTGGTCTCACCCTAGTTTATAAATGTTAGCCAAATGTAAAACTTCATTTTTGATGGGTCAAAAAGAAATACTACATAATTTATTTTTTATTTGTGTCAAATTTGTATTTGATATGGGTCATGGATTTCCTGGATATTTTGTGGGATCCTCTGTTCAGTGTTGACATTTTTCATTTCCAAGAACATCAACAGGCAAAATCAAAACCTTCTCTTTAAAGAATTAATGACTGATGAGTTCTTTAAAAATAGAGGGGGGGGGGGGGGTGATTGCTGGAGCTGCTTTTATAACAACTCAAAAAAAAAAAAAATAATAATAATAAAATAAAAATAATAAAATAGTAATAATAATAATGATAATGAGATCAAAATGTCCCTTGCTTGCAATCCACTGACATGATCTCATCTTAATTGCTGAGTTCAGCAGAGGTCAGTAGGCACAATGATGTAGATGAAAGTTGCAATCAAGCATTTCTTCCACAAGTTCAACCTTGTAAAATGCATCATGCTTACAGAACTAGGTGAAATGTAAGACTCTATTCCCATAGACACCAGCCATCAACGTATATTAATCCAACTCTGCGGGGGCTGTCGCTGAGTGTAATCAGCTTAACTGAAGACACACCTTTCGTTTCGAACATGCTCATATAATCACCAGCTTTTTTGTATTCTTTTTCAAGCCAGGAAGATATGTATTAAACTGATTGCATTCAGCAAGAGTTCCCACAGAGTTCCCAACATAGACTGACATTGGTGTCTATGGGAATGGGGTCTAAGTTATACCTTTTTTTTTTTTTTCATTTGTCTTATGGCTCTTAATGCAGTCTTGAGTCTTACAGACATCTGCTACCTTTAGAGACAAGGGAAAAAATGCTGAAATGGGTTTATTGCATTATGTTAAGCTCTAAACTTCACCTGCCTCCCTAAGTAAATGTTGATGGGTAGTGTGAATCAGTAGTTCCTTATTTAGAGAGCTGTAGTATATCTGCCTAAGGGATCTATGGTATGCCCAGAAGGGAGATGTTTTATCTCATATCGTGTGTGTGTGTGTGTGTGTGTGTGTGTGTGTGTGTGAAAAAGAAGCCAACAAAAGAAGAAAGGGCAGATTTGATATTCATTGTGTACCAACTTAAAAAAAAAAAGCATAATCAGACAAGGTCACTATTTTGCCCTAAGAAGCCAACATAGTACCACACAACTTTGATAAGTTGCCATAATAAGTACCTATTTTCAATATGACTGATTTACTTTCTAAATCAGATAAAGATTTTCTATTCTTACTACAGGTGTATAAGATTATGTAACACATTAATATATTGCTACTGCTTTATTTGAATTGTTTAATTGTTTTGAATGCTTCTGAATAGTATTAGCATTTGTAATTCGATGGATACAAAGTTGTCCTGGTTAAAAATTAAAAATTATACATAATTGGATCTCTTCAAATTCAACTGTCTGTAGTTACACATTTGTGCAATAGATGGCAGGAAGGTAGGTCAGCTTTATCAGAATATTTGCCACTAGAGGTCAGCAGCTGATAGTACACTATTGGCGCCATCAGATAGCATATTAACATAACAGGGAAACAACCGGGTCCCCAGACAATGCTGTTTGTTTGCGTGATACATGAAGCAGGGAAAGATCAACATCATTTGTTCTCTTAGTCAGAGTCAGAGTCCGCAGAACAATGGGTTGGATAGCATTCAAGACTGCTGTTGCCATGAATGTAGTTTACAATTCCCCAATCTCATGATAAATGAATGAACTTGGATTTGCTGGGTTTCAATAAACCAGACCAAAGATGTTTTATTGAATATTGTACTCCACGTTAGTTTTATATCAAGTGCTAGGTGTTAAGTTTTTGTCTTGAAAATGATTAGACTTTATTTAGCTGAGCCAGACTACGACCCCTCTTTGTAATAGGCATGAACATAATTCATTAATATTAACATTTTGTCCACGGAAGCCATATTTCTGAAAGCATTCTTGACAAGCAAGGTAGCCAGTTGGCTCTGTATGTGTACCTGTTGTTCCAGCTTTGGCTGTGTCTTCCCTTGATGAGCTCTTTAGCATAAAGAGATCTAGAGTGTTGACAGTGATGACATCATCAGCTTCCTGTCTGACACCTGAGTCACCTGAGCAGTAGTAGTGGCATAAGGAAGCAATAACTGGGTCATCACGTTCTCCAGGCAGTGCTAGAGACAGGCTAACTGTACAGACTTCACTACCTGTGATCTACCCGCGGCATTGACGACACCACAAAGCACGGCACTTATCACGGCACAGCGGTCGTTGTAATATTGTGACCTGGTTTTAACTTGCACTTATCAGCTGTGCCGCATAGCCATACGACTAGTGGGCAAATATTTGTCTGCCTTGGATTAGACTGTCGGTTAGAGCACTTTGTACCCAGGCCGGGCTCTCCAGGCTGTCAGCCTCCATTGCTCCCTCTAATTACTGCTGTGATTTCACTGGTCCTGAAAAGGACACTTTTTACTGGAGCTCAGTTTTTAGGATATGTTCTGTGTCTAGATTACTAGGAATAAGTTGGTTTACTTCTTCAACATGTCGCTGTGGTGTGGACCGTTCAGATCTAAGAAGGCAAAGAAGGTGAGTTGATAAAGCAGGGTGGACGTGAGAGAGGGGTGCTGGTATGCATGCCACTTTTTATTATCTGTTTTCTTTGGTGGGGGGCGGGGGGTGATTTAGCAAAACATGTTAATTTTACTACAGTTAAGTTGTTTTCTTGACTGCTTTTATACACATGGTGAAGACGACCTGAGAAGTGGAGACAAAAAAGTGGGTCATTTTTCAAATTAGGATGCGTATGAAAAGTGTGAATGAGTTGGATTAGGGTGAAAACCATTCAAAGAGTGTGATGTCATCTGTTTCTTACCAGGAAGTGGGCAGACTTTGCAATCCTAGGCACTGCCTCACCTGACCTGCTAAATTTAATAGTGGTTAAGTTTTACGAGGTGACAAGCTGCTAAGAAGATGAAATTAAGAGGGGGCATAAAAAAGGGCAGTTCACAACAAAGGACTACATGATAACACTTGTAATAAAAGTTGTACTATGGTACTAGTAAAGTGATAATCATGGAGTTGATCTACATGATTGACAGTCGAGGTCGGTTGCCATTGAATGTGTGCAGAGATCATCAGATTGATAACCACAATATTTGTGCACTTGTTGGAAGGGAACAATGGGGAGGATGAAGTTCAAGGTGGCTGGATAACTTGTGTAGACAGGAAATATTAATGAAACAGGAGGGTGAAAAGAGGGTCACTGATTTGGTGGAGGGGGGTGTGTGTGCAAGACATTGTTTGCCTTAATTTTTTTTATGGTACACCTTGTGGATATCAGCAGACCTGGCAAGTTCAGTTTGATTCGTTTTGATTCAATTTGACTAGGCATGTAAAGATCTCTGTACAAGTTGGTTGAGGTGGGGGGGGGTTGATGGAGGTTAGCAACCCCTATAGTAACCAGGGCCCAGTTTTATAAAGGACGTTTAGCACTAACCAGTGGATAAGCCTAACTAGTGGATAAATTCCCCTAACACCCATTAACTAAAAGATGGTTAAATTGTGTTTTATATACAGTCTTTTAACAGAAAACAGCCAATTAGTTAACTGGCCAGTATTTTACTGGATTAAATAATTATTTAAAGGTCAGTTTACTAACAGACTATTTAGGTCTGGTTAGAGTTAAACACTGGTTAGTGCTAAACGTCCTTTATAAAACTGGGCCCAGGCATGTTAAGATCCCTGTAGAAGCTGGTTGAGGGAGGATAAAGGTGAACGCCTCCTGGAATGGTTTTCATACCTGAGTTGGCAGCTTGTCATGCTTTGCAAACTCCCAGCTATTTAGGTTAATATATATGTACAGAATGGAACAGGTGTTTACACGGAAGATATTGTGTGCTCTGCCCCTAAGCATGTGCGTGCACACACACATGCGTCCCACCACAATCATCGGGCCCTTATAGTATGCCAGCCCAATATTAAGCAGTGGTAAAGAATCTTTTGGCTGGCAGAGATTAAACAGAAAATCTTGAATAAACAGCCTGTTGGCCAGAACAGCTCTCAGGAATTTGGGTCAGCATAAGTCATTGGATCAAATTATAGACCACATCTAGAAAAATTCTGGTGGAGATCTGTTCTCTCTCGCTAGCTACTGTCCTCTTTATTTACATGCTTTAAACTTGTTAGTCTAAAACATATCAAAATGTAAAAACTAGTCAAAATAAAGAAGTGGTAATAATGAAATGATGGCTTGAAAGGTGGTCTAGCTTAGCCTGGGAAAAATACACAGCAGGTGTCCGATGCTCATTTTCTACCTAAGAGTTGACGCCCTGCATTCATGATCTATTTTCTATTATTAAGACAGCAGCTCTCTGCTTGCTTGACCTTGTTCAAGGAATGTCTTAATCTGTGTCTCAGTGCTCACTTTACATGGAGGGTGTGGGTTGACTGCGGTGAAAAGTGGGTCAAAACCAGTAGCACACATGGCAGCCCATGCTGTGGTGGATTTTAGTGCTTGTACGTTTGAGTCTTCCTTCCTGAATTAGATGTAAAATGTCTTAGAGTGTGTGTGTGTGTGTGTGTGTGTGAAAGTGAGAGAGAGAGAGAGAGAGAGAGAGAGTGTTTAGGGATGGGGATGGATAGACGGATGTGGGGAGGGGGTTTAAACTGTTAACTACTATTTCCATAGAATTTTAGATCGATCTATCCCCGTGGGGAGTCTCACTAGATTACTGTCAGCTTGGCTGGCTTAAGCGTCTGTCCCGCCTACTAAAAGCTGTAAGGGGGTAATTAACTATGGTGTCTGCTCGGCTGACTGCAATTTAGCCTGAACCCCCAGGGAGTTAGGTCGATCTAAAACTTAATCTTTAGATCGATCTAAATCTCTGGGAAAGCACCCTAAGAGCAGTCCTTAATTGTACTGGTCGTAACACTTCAGTCCATTTGTTTCTCAAGGAGAGTGGTAAAAGCTCCATAAACATGAACGCTCAGTTTGTGGGAAAAAGAAAAGTTGTTATCTTCTGTCATAACTAGTCTGCTTGTTATGTCTATAACTGTGGCAGTATAGTACTCAACCTTGGGGATTTTAGTAAACTGTTAGAGCTTTGTTGGAATTGAAATATAAATCATCGGTTTATTTCCTCTGGGTGGCTAACTGTACTGTGAGAGTTGCTGACCTCTCAGAAAGAAGAACATTAACGGAAAATGTTCTGAGGATTATTTTTTCAATATTTGTAAATGATGGTTTGGTAGGTGAAAGTATTGCTAATTTTTTCTTGACCTTGTCTTAAGTGAAATTTCCGTTGAAATATATAGAAACCGTGACTGTGTCAAATGTTATCAATGTATTTTGATAAAGCTGTGGTTATTGGAAGTGTAACTTTGTTTCTTCTCCCTCATATCGCAGGAATATAAGACATTTTAGAATCCAACTGTGATGTATAACATCGGTTGCACTGCCCTCCTCTTCCCCCCGGGACATATACAACCTAGCTAATAATACTGTTCCTTCATTTTGCTTCATCTTCAACTGTTTTTCTGAGAAAGATACAAAATGACATCAAAATCAATACTGGTTATGTCGTAGAGAATAGCTACAAGGAGGTCTATATGTCGTACTACGGCCACTGATATGCCATTTATATCCATTGGGCTTTTTTTTTTTTTTTTTTTTAACATTTAGATAGTGGAAAGTATCTGATGTCAGTCTTCCCATTGAAATCTATCTCTGAGTGCATTATACCTAGTACATGATGTATATTTAATGTTTCACCAAAAGTTTATAATCCATCAGCTCATTTACTATTTACGTGTCTGACTACTATGCCCCATTCCCATAGACACCATCAGGCTACATATAAATCAGTTCAACTCTGCGGGGACTCTCGCTGAGTGCAATCAGCTTAACTGAATTACACACCACCTCATGGCTTTGAGTAGAATACAGAAAAGCTGGTGATTATTTGAGTACTTTGGAAACAAGAGGAAGTGTATCATTCAATTAAGCTGATTGCAGTCAGCAAGAGTCCCCGCAGAGTTGGATCGATCTATGTTGACCAGTGGTGTTTATGGGATTTGAAATGAACGACATGGTCTGATAAATGAAATTAAGCATGGCAAGGTAATTATTCCAACAACTGGAAAGTTATCCCGATTCTGTAAAACAGATCTTTGGCAAAAAACTGATTCTGTGTTTAAGAAGGCAGCAAGGTCTGCATAAATTGAACAGTGAGTTGCAGTTAATTATATATTTATATGACAACATAGATAATTCTAGGGAATGGAAATGAAGTACCGGCTGCTTTCCTAAGCTAAAACATATACCTACATTGGCAATGGTATTTTACTCTCCATCTAATAAATGAACACTACTGAGGTAAAGTAATCTTTTAAAGTAAGGCACATTGAGCTTTTAAAGACTTCTCTCAAATTTCTGGCCTCTGCCTGATGTTATTTGCGTCTGGGAGCTAATTCAATTCCACTAACATGCCCTCCAGCTCTACGGTAACTCCTCATCATCTTCACACCACATTAAACCAATAAATGTTTTTCAAAATTTTTTTGTTAGAAACACCCAAAAATTATGCTTTCAGAGGTGTGAAGAGCAAGTTATTAATATCTTATGTTGGAGGGTATGCCTTAGAGGCTGTAATACTGACATAGTAAAAGAGGTGTGTGAGTGTGTTTGAGTATTACTTGACAGTTTTTTTGAGGTGCCATGTTTTATTTTATTTTTTTTTACAGAATCATCATGAAGAGCCCAATTGTAGTTGGTTTTTATAGGTCATGCTTGTACTGAGCTTTCTTTAGACAGACCTCCTTTTCAAACTGTCAGGATTGGCAGAAATGTTCCTTAAAAATGAGTGTCATTTCAAGTTAATGGAATATACTCCAATCAGATGAGAACATGGCTTTGTAGGGGAAATGTTTGAATGGATTGGAGAGGAATTCTTGCTACTGCTAAAGAGAGCATCCAATGAGGAGGATCACAAGGAGACAGTTGTCATGAGGTTTTCCTCTGACTAAACAAGAGCATGGTGATGATAAATATAAAAATCAATAAAAAAAGTGATCTTCACTTCCTGTGACTGATTTTAGCCGCTGAAGAACTCTGGTTTAGTCTGACTGATGTTAAAAGGATAAAAAATTGCAAAACAGAAAAAAGTGATTTTGAAGAGGATGGAAATTTTGGTTGATTGCAGAAGATGGGATTTTTGGTTGAACTTTTATTGTGTCCCATCTAATGTGCCAATATAGATTGATCTGACAGGTGGGAAGTCTCTCCCCCCTCCTTTCCATGCAGTGTTGTCCCTGTTTCAGTGGTACACATAAGTTTTAGGGTTCATTCCCAATGCAACTGTTAATCTATATAGATCGATCCAACTATGTGGGCACTCTTGCTGAATGCAACGAGATTAACCAATCAACATGCCTCCTAGTGTTAAGTAGAATACAGCAAGAGTCCTGCAGAGTTGGATCGACCTTCGTAGAACAATAGTTACATTGGGAATGAGCCCTTAGAGTTCATTATCCATATTACTGTTATACATTGATGGCTTGTTAAACTTTACATGACCAGTCTTCTAAAT